GATGATGAGCGGCCTGGGCGGCCAAAAGAGGCCACCAACGATGAAACTGCCGAAGCTGTGCACGATCTGGTCATGTGCGACAGAAGGCGAGACCTGCGAAGCATTGCTAGGGAAGTGGGTATAAGCTTTGGTTCAGTTCAGGCAATTCTGACTGATGTCTATGGCATGTCAAAGGTTTCCGCTAGATGGGTCCCCAGACAGTTGACTGACGACCAGAAACGGACCAGGCTTGACATTTCAAGATATCTTTTGTCTCGCTACGAGGATGAACCTGATTTTATCTACCGGATCGTAACTCAGGATGAAACATGGGTCCATCACTTCGATCCAGAATCCAAAAAACAGAGCATGCAGTGGAAGCACCCTGGCTCACCCCCTCCGAAGAAATTCAAGAGGGTGCCATCAGCAGGGAAGATGATGGCTTCAATTTTTTGGGATAGTCAGGGGATAATCATGATTGACTATCTTGAGCAAGGTCGTACCATAAACGGTACGTACTATGCAGACGAATTGAGACGTCTGCGTCAAGAAATCGCGCGTAAAAGGAGGGGCAAACTGACTCAAGGCGTTCTGCTCATGCACGACAATGCGCCAGCTCATACATCCCAAGTTGCGATGGCTGTTGCAACTGACTGCGGCTTTGAAATTCTTCCCAATCCCCCATATTCTCCGGACTTGGTACCCTCTGACTTCTTCTTGTTTCCGAAACTTCGTGGTAGACGTTTTGGAAGCAATGAAGGTGTCATGGAGGCGGTCAATGTGTTCTTTGAGAACCAAAGTAGAGAGTTCTATTTTGAAGGGTTAAACAAGTTGGAACACAGCTGGGCAAAGTGCATTGATGTAGAGGGTGATTATATTGAAAAATAAGACCATTAGTTATGATTATATTGAAAAAACGGACACAGATTTCGTTTGTTATTGTTATTTAGTAATTTGTGTTTTTATTTATCTATTTAGTTATTTTTTGGTTTGGTTTGGTTTTGATTCGCATCAACAATGTAAAGGTTATATGGCCACTTAAGAGTTTTACTAGTGGGGGAGCTCTCAGATGCCCCCATTCGCGCAACCACAGACGTTCTGTTAGCTAGCAGGGTAGCTTTCTCACATGAAATGATACAAAGCCTCTAAAGGAATTCGAAACGACAGCTAATACCTAGCGTCCTTAATCCAGTTTAACTTATTGGTGTTTTGAAAACTGTCAAGCGAAAGATACAGTTTGATATCAAACAAATGTGAAGATGTCTTTGGGTAGTCACATCAGGTTCTTGAAAGTTGTGTATTTTTACGAAAATATATACTGTTTTAGAAGATATTGAGATTTTGTTACATAAAACGAATTGAATTGGAAAGGGAAATAACCAAAACCGGTATCGTCATATTCGAGACAACATTTGTTTCCCTTCTTTCAAGGATTGAACATAATATTTTAAACGTTACAATGCAGATTTTTGAATATTTTACTTACTTGTTCGGATGCGCCGCGTTTCAGCAAGATGGGTGCGTCGTTTGTTGACGTCGGAGCAGATGGGGGTAAGGGTGAAAATTTGTCAGCAGTACGAGAAGAAGGCGATTACTTTCTAAATCGAGTGATAACATGTGATTTTTTGAACCGGAAAGCAATCTGGAAGCATCCTTCCTCGCCTTCCCCTACAAAAGCGATAATTTCCAAGTCAGCCGGGACGGTGTAGTGCTAAACCACTTTTTTCCTCCGAAAATGGCAGTCATTGGGAACTATTATGTAACAATACTTATAACGGAAATAATGGCGGCAATAAGGAGAAAGCGCCCACATCTACTTATGTCCGGATTCATATTACATCACGACAACGCGCCGAGCCATTCAAGCCACGTTGTCATGGATACACTAGAAAAACTCGGCTTCGAACTGTTACCGCACCGCCCCTACAGCCCGGATCTAGCAATTTGTGACTTCTGGCTGTTTTCATCTTTAAGAAAAAACAGTCTTCGTGGTACGAAATTTGAGTCAAGAGAGGAACTGAGGTGTTCCGTGGACAGACAGCTGCGGGAGATGTCACGTGACGGGCTACAACACGTGGTCGAGTCATGGGTCGAGAGATGGGACATGTGCAAATCGTGCATGGGACGTTACTTTAAGAAAGAGTAATCATTTTAGGTACTTGAATTAAATCATTTCCCCATTATTGAATTAGTTTACATTTTTTTATGCACCCTCGTATTTACACTTGTATTTTGCTAATCACCTTCTTTTGCTACTGACTATCTTAAAATGTTTTTTGATTTTTAATAAAATCAAGCAGACAAAATCGCTTTAAATCTTATTTCATTGATAGCATTTTGGAGTTATTTTGGAGTCTGACATGAATACTAGATGAAATAATGTATAGAAATGCATTGTTGGGCATATGTAGGATACATGTTCCGATATAATATTACATATACTTATTTAGCAGATAATAAACTGTTCTAGAACAAAATATTATTATTTATTCATCATGTAAATATTTATACCACTTATGACTATACTTACATTTTCTTTCAAGCAATATCTTATCAGAATATCCAAATGATACATTTGTATTGTTTTTATCAATATGTGAAATACGTTTTAAACTTGTGCCCATTATAGACCAATCCACTTTAAAAGAAGAAAATATGCGTATAACTGATAGAGGGATAGGTATAATAAGGATAAACATAAACAAAGAAGACTTGACTTGTATTTATAATATCAAAATATCAAACATCTAATATCATATTAATCATTACATAAAATAATGTACAACAAAATATAATAGGAAAAGAAAATATCAAACATTATAAATTATAAAATATGTACATTTCAAAAACACATTTGTCATATCACTCAATATTATCATGTAACGCAATTCTTGTAGCAAAAACCTGAAAAAGGGAGATTCAGAGAAAAAAATAGTAGGAAGAAATAAATGGTAAAAAGCAAAATAAAAAAGGGGATGGAATGTAGAAATGGTATCAAATTGTGAAATCACTATTGAATGCCTGGCATGAAAAAGAAGCACATTGATTATAAGGTTATTTTTTTTATTCAGAGGCCAAAGCGAAAATCCAGACTGTTTTTATAAAGACATCAATAACAAACGAGTAAAATATTTTTTTCGGGACTTACGTACTTTTATGAAAGAAAATGGTTTCGTTTGAAGTACAAAAGGGAAGAGATTTACTGAATTGTATAAAGTACTAATATAATGCCCATCCTCAGTAAAATATGGCTTACATGTATATACGTTATGGTTTCATTTTCAGATTAGGAAAGATAAACGTAAACACAAGGTAATTGATGATAACATAATGATTTTCTAATATCATTCATACATGATTTTTATAATGTAAATTGAAAATCATTTTATTTTGAAATCGTTCTGTAAACAATTAATTTATAATTATCTACTCCAAAAAGTTTTCAACCTCCAACGTTTCGGGGGGTTGAGAAACTTTGTGGAGTAGATGATTATACATTTTTTAGTTTAGTTGTGAGCTTTCGGTGTGTCTCTTGTTTGTATTTTAGACATTTTAAATGATATTTCACAGACTAAATAACATTAGCTATGATATAAGACTTTTAAAAAAGGGCAACCCTTGACAAATATGAAAACAAAAAATCCAAAATGACTCGGATTAATGAATTTTCTTTCTGATGGAACAGCAACATCTTTCACACACCCTAGCACCGCCCTATGCGACATTTGTCCTCAACAATTCAAAGATTCCGAAAGAACCAGAAAAAATATGAAAATGCAGATGAAGATGATTTTACATTTGTAATTGTTTGTATGTTTTGTTTTTTCTTGAAATTGTTTTTTATTTTTTTCGAAACATAAAATCTATTTCAGACGTATCTTTCTTGTGATTGTGTAAAGTGCTTTGCGGAGGTGGCATATGTTTTGCTAACAAAAATATGTGATGGAAATTTCATTTATAATCTATAATTTCTATTTATATCAGAACAATTTCTACCACTTAACGTGCTAAATATCTTATAAATAAACTTGTCAATCGTTTAGGGATTAGTTTTTAGAATGTGTACTGACTGAGTAGCGAACATTGAAAACCATGACCAGACGGTGCGGGTGGTCTGCACCTGACGCATATTTATATATTTTGCCGCCAGCGAGCTAAGAGTTCAAATGTGAATATTTAAAAATAATATGGAGAAATATGCTTTCTGAAATCATAGCATTAACATGAACATTTAACATTGTATACATACAAAGAAGTTGATCACTTTTAACCGCTACAATTTGATTGGTATCAACGAAATACATATATATCATATATATCTTAGTAAATACGAACTTACTTGCAAACAATACATTAATAATGAAGTTCAAACGACCAAATTTCCATACCTTAAAGATACATTATGCCTCAGAAATGAATATTTTCTTTCCTTCTTGAAACATAGTTTAATAATCTTTGATTATTTTTTTTTTTGGCATAAAAGTAGCAAAATTTTACCAAAGTAGTATTTTGTCTTCCATACAAGATACTAAGTCACTATAGCAAAAACGAAATAAGCAAAAAGATGGCTCTGATAATTGGCCAAAGAGTAACATTTTTAAAAGCTATAGGACACAAAAATAAAAATCTTTTGAGAAATAAAAATGAAAGCATTTCTGGGAAATAATTGGCCTTTAAGACATAGAAAATAAATCTATTGCATTTTTTCTTGTAACAAAGCCAGTGTTGGGAAATTACTTTTAAGTTCTATGACATCATTTTTGACGTCATCACTTTTTTATCGACTTCGGCTTCACACTTATTATTCTAGAATAGAATTTATTTTGCGTTTTAGTACTTGTGTCGACATCAGTTTCCTGATTTAATATTGTCACTCTCTTGTTTCAACAAAAGTCCATCGGTCCCTTTGCTGTTTTATAGTGTTTATTTTCATCTTTACTCCCTTAAACATTTCATTTACGGAGTTTAGTATTTTTCTAATGTATATATTGCTATATTCACACAACACTGTTTCATACACTGCTTATTTTCCACCTATAACATCTCTCTGGGCCTCGTTATGTTTTTCTACTATTTGCAAACAGTTACCCATTCATTGGACACACAAGTTTGACATACGACGTAACAACACCAGTGAAATTTACAGTTACACCGTTCTGCTCTCCTTACTCGGAGAGTATTATGACCACGCCCACAACACAAGGTGTCGCAATTGTCCAGTCCTGTGCTCGATTTGTTACAGAAACGTCCGGTTGTTCCAGGTGAGTCAACTTCAGGGTTTGGGTCACAATAGTTAGGAGATTTCTCATAGTATACTAGTTCAGTGTTTTTCTGCTTTCTCACAAGTCTCCGTTTGTTTTTCTTACCAGTTTTATTACTTATATTGACCTAAAATAAAGAAAGTCATTGTTAAAACTTGAAAGTTAAACATATACTGAAAAACATTATAAAAATAATATCATAACCTGTATAAACTTGTATCTTCATATAATATGAAAGTAGGCAAAGTCTCATGAACGGGGAAGTCAGATAAAATATTTACGTTCATTTCTTACTTTACATTTTTCGTTTTAGAGGTGTAATTCGTTATTTTATGCACCGCTTCCGTTTTCAGCCGAAAAGTCAGAATTGTTCCGTCATCGGAATACCTTGCCGATTATCATTGAGTACCATTGAAAATGGCGGCGCCAAACTACAATTGACACTGGAAATTTAACTGAAAGGTATAAAATCTTGTTGTTTTTTTATTTGATTTCCTTTTACATATACACTTGTAATACGTAACCGGGTGTCAAAGCTTTTGACTTCCCCGTGTAATATCTTTAATATATTGTGATATTAGTCATTGGGCTTGAGGTTAGGATAATAGAACAAACATACTTGGTTTTTAAGGCGAGTAGCAGGTTTGTTAGGAGTTACACCAAGCCTGTGGTGAATTTTAGATATTTCTAGACTAGTATAATTATTAGAAAATGTATTTTATGATATCTTAACCGTTACCCTGCAGGACTTGAAATTATTATTTCTTTGCCATCAGAATAGTGTCTGACCAGGCTGCTCATCCCTGGCCAGACTCTATATTGTTGGCTGAAAATCTTTTGCAGCTTGATATTTCCAAAAATGATAATGAACAGTTCAGAAAAAAAAGATGGACAAGTTCATTTCAAAATAAAGCAGAGGTTTTAAAAGTGTAATCCATTAAGTGACTTACCTTCGAAGCTTTTTCGTATTTTTTCTTAAGAATTTCACCAACTATTCTAAATTCTGGCGATACTTTCCAACACGTCTTTACCTCACAGCTACCTGACATTCCGTGACATTTACACTGTTTCCTGACATTCTTCAGTATAACCTGTAGAAAATATATTTGATATATGTTGGAAGATGCATTTGTAAATGAATTCCTTTTTTAACGCACACGATAAGTTAATGTTTTGTTATATATGTACATGACATTTGTTTCAAATATAAATAGAGGTGGTGTCTGTAGTTCACGCTCCGGATCACGGCAGCGGGCCACATTGAATACATCAGAGCACGGCAGCGGGTCACATTGGATACACCAGGGCACCGCACCATGAGCATGCTGTAAAATCATGAAACTACCACAATACGCCGTAGATATCAACTCAACAAATATAATTTATATATATAACTATATAAACATGTATGTAAAGTGTGTACGTTAAAATGCATAAACAACTAATTAATGAATTTTTAATGAATTTCAATTTTATTGCAGAATTATTATCATACGTATTTCAAATATGTCTACAATATAAACATCTTGTATATTTTTGTTGTTGTTTCTATTTGTGCTCTTAAAAATCTACTATGCGATTTAGTGACCACTGTAATGTTAAACAAATTGCTTAAATTTCACTAAGAACCTGAGTAACAAAAAAATCGCAAAATTTTATACATCGAGATTGCGTAACAAATGAAAAGTTTATATAATACATATAAATTTCATTTAATGGCTCACAATATCACATCTATTTTTAACTTTTTTTTACAACACTGTCTCCAGCGTTGCTAATATTTTATTTTAGATTTATTGATATAGATTTTAATCAAATAATTAAGTCATTAAAATTTTGATCTTTTAAAATATCTGCTTTTTAACGTCATTAAACTGTTATCTTTGCGGTTTTTTACAATTTCGACTTAAAATAAATACTATGAAAATTGAGGGTTTTTTTAATGCGGGATACTTTTTGCTTGTCTAAGCGTTTGCTTGTTTTGTTGTTGTTGTTGTTGTGCTGCTGCTGCTCCTGATGATGTTGTTGTTGCTGTTGTTATTGTTGTTGTTGTTTTAATATATATAAATATATGTCTTTCATATCAACTTTTATATGTCAAATGAATTGATCTATTATTTCAATTATAATGAAATTTAAAGAGTGTGAAATGATATTGTTTTTCATTCATGGAAGATCTTCTATTGACTTTTACATCTACTAATTAATTCCCATTTTTATATCATTTGTAATATTTTGAAAGAAATTGAAGAAATAATTGAACAAAATTGAAAAAGAAGAAAAATATCAATATAATGGAAACAACATGTAAAACAATTTATTACCAGTCGTCCTGCCCTGTTGTTATGCAGATTTATTCTTGCATGGATATCTCGTGCTGCCTCTCGCGCTCGTGTGAACTTTCTGGCGAAATTATCACCAAACTCGACATTATGTGAGCAACCTCCCCACTCGAACTTATCCTTGACTTCTCCTTGCATACTCATATCACACCCGCAGGATTTCAACTTGCCCATACTACACGCTGTAGACACCTGGTGTGTTACCCCTGCTGAGGCTAAAGCATATGCGAAGGCCGATTCTTTATATCCTGAAATATCAAAAATCATTATTATTTTATTATTTTGTTCTCTGAATTTTAAACTATATCGGTTACTGGTTTAGAATAGCTCAATATAAGCTTGGGTTGCATAAATACGTTTTCAGCCGGTGCTACAGGGCATTGGTTCATGGTCTGCAATAAACATACCCATTGAAACCAAATATGTCATTTTACTATTGATTTCGTTACCTTTGTCATTATGAGAGCTTCGTACTTCAAGATGTTCTATTTCACGAGGTTAAGAATGGGAATGTATCTTTGTAAATTTCTTATTTTTTGTTCTCCTTTTTCTCTTGTGTGTTTTTTTAAATAAGGATAGAAACTGTTTTTGTTTGTTTTTTACATTTTTGATGCAAAGCATTTTTAAAAAAGCACATAAAACGCCAAATGATTTGCAATAAGTTTGAAAAGAATGAACAGTAAAGTTTTTTATCCCTATCCCAGAAGTGGTAACGATTTCACTTAATTTCATTTCGTACTTCATAAAAACGTAATAATATTTTTATAAGTCTTAACAACATTATGTTTGTATTTTGTATAACGATAAATTAATTCAATGTATAGAAGTTTGACAAGTGTTGGATAGCATTTAACCCTTTTCCACCTTCCATGCTTAAGTGCAGTGTTATTTGGGTTTGTTGTTGTTTGTTGTTGTTGTTTTCCGAAATGACACTACGTATTACAAAATACTTTCAGTATTTAGGAAATATCAACTACGTTTTATACAAAATATAATAATGTTTTCGATTTATAGAAATAATAATAATATCGTATTACGTAAGACGAAATAGTGTGTCTTTATTTACGAATTAATATTACGTGTTTACGATAGGCATTTCGTAATTACCAAATATTATTACGTTTTTAGAAATTAAAATGTGTCACCGATGTTACGTCAGGGGAACCATATACTTGTCCAAAGATTAAGTTGAAACCGGTGTTTCGTAAATATCATATGTTTAGCTTTAAAAGACGTTGATATATATATAAAAAACTATTTTAATTGGGTGTTTAAAACCTTTTCTGCGTATTAGTCCTTCACAAATGCGAAGCTTTAACGGACATCTGTCATATAAAATTACATTTTGCATTTAACTAACAAGTTCTTGTACTCGAATCTAGTAATTTATTTTGATCCAGTAGCCCTGAATGTGGCGTTTTTGAATGCCTGATGCATTCGTTTAATACTTTAATACATTATTTGGAATGCAAATTGCCTTTCGGTAAACATATGTTCTTTTTTATCAATTTACCCGTATATAATGGAATTTCATTCAAGTAATGCATTAAAGAGTACACTTAGAGTTTATTTCTGATCAATTGAGTTCGATAAAAATGCTTCGCACATCAAATCCCATATCAAATGCTCATAAAACCAGCGTTACTGCGGCATTTGCGGCCACGCGGAATAAATCGGCTAACATCGTTTCAATGTACCACCAACACGATCATAAAATTATAATATTTACTTCGACTTCACTTAGCATTTTCAAAATCTTTAAAACGGACGCAACCCCTATTTCGTTTCTGAATTAAGCGGAATTAAAGATCGGATTAAGAGGAAAAAATCTATTTAGTTTTTTTATATATATCCTTTTCAGTTTGTAATAAGTAAATACATTATATCACGTTTTGAAAGCTCATTTGCCGAAAACATACGTCTGTATTTCATAAATTTGTCTGTTGAAGCCGAAAGAATAAAAATTGCGATAATAGAATAGAGGTAAGCAAGAGAAAAGAGTTAAAGAAAATTGGTTTTATAATCATTTATGTGACACCTTCTACCAATCCGGACAGCCTTCCTTAATTCCTGAATATGACCAACCTTAAGAATATTGTTGATTCAATAACAATTTTAGAATAATGTGTTTAAAGAGTAATTTATAGGAAAGGAAACTTTCAAAACATTGAAAGAAAATCATTTAAATTTCATTCTCGAAAAATAATAATTCTAAAGTTATTAATTTGAGGCTTTTCCAGAATGAAATCGAAAGTATTTACTCCTGTAATTCTTTACTCACATAGTCTCTACCTTCTATCATTTATTTTATGGCACATACTCCCTTTTTCATAGAATGACACAAATGTGTCACTCTAAATGATAATAACCGTCACTTGCCCCGCTGTGGGTTCGAATCCAGCAAGGGACTTAAAATATGAACTGATGGGTACCTGTGGTCTTCCTGCACCAGTACAACGTGTTGAAATATGCATGAGCTTCTACAGCCGGCGAGGCAGACGACAGCTTACAGTAAACATTGCCGTCTAAGAACCGTTTCGGTGAAACATTCAATTTTGTAGTGTTGTAAGAAATTGTAAGAAAAAGTGATTTCTTTTAAATATATATCTTAAAACAAGTTCCGGTATGATTGCAAAATGTTTTCTGTTTTCTAATTATTCTATTCATGCATAAAAAACTATTATACGAATATATAACGGTGCCTGTTTTCTTTTCTAACAGCAAAAAGCACCTGCCAATTTATTTACACAATTATACACAACCTTTTTCCTGCTGACTAATTCTTTTTAAGTTCTTATCGTTACTTTATTAGATGCTTATTAGTTACTAAACATTTATTTTTACTCGGGCAAGAAAAACAGTTTTACTTGTAATTCGTTTCTGTGTAGATTTACTTTACAATTCCCCGCGATAATTGCCTCCAAGTGGAAGAGAAACCTGTTCCGAATTAATACGGTAGTTATCATTAAACATATCAATTTATAGTTAATTAGCAGACGATTAGCAGCCGATTGAGCACGTGAGCACGTGAGCCAAGTACCTGCTGAGAAAAATGAAAATACCTATTTCAAAAGAAAGATATTTGTTTCATAATATTAGATGGCTTTAATTGTGCTTCGATTTTGTTTTCAAGTCCGATCAGCCAAGACTTTTGTCATGAAGGTTCACATTTACATACAAAATACCGTCTTGTATATAACCATTTACCTTAATGAAGCTGGACACCATCTCTTATACCATATAATTTTAAACATTGACGTTGAGTCTAGATCTTTTTTCTATTGATAATTATTTTGTTTCAAATCACTTGTGATTGAGAAAATTTTCCAATTCTATGGTCTTGTTTTAAACAATATAAATCTTTATAATGCGTGTATTGGCTACAGTTTCAAAGATATTTACAAAATGCTTTTTTTACAATCCGTTCAAAGCCTCCTTTTTTCCAAAGGAATTTGCAAGAAAAATGACATGAATAAATCAATAAAGCTAAGAAAAGATTTCTTTGTAGGAAAACTTCCAAACACCACAGTTTCCGACTTAGGTAAACAATTACTTTAAAGCATAAAAGATTCAACAAAACTTCAAAGTTTCTTTCATCGGTGGCTAACCAGCGTTAACGTAAACACGGCAAAAACTGGTACATTTGGTCGGCAAATGATTCGGGTAAAATGTATGATTATAACGAGGCTAAATTCTGGTCTGGTTCCGTTTCCAAACCTTCATAAACATGGTAGGTCAGATTACTAGTATCAGATAATGTATTAATTATCCTAAGAAAAAACGTATATCTATTTATCAAATGTTCATATTGTTTCCATACTTTTCAATTAAGATAATTTAGCGCAATGAAAAGTGAGGTTTTGCCAAAGATATTTTGTTTGACAAGAGAATCGGGGTCATAAATAATATTAAAAGGCCAAATTTGCTTGTTCGGAAATCATTTACATTCTTGTTTGTTTTCGCCAGAAATGTTATCAATATGATTTGTTCAGTCTTTTAAAATTTCACTTACATTTTACAATGGGTCAAATTTCATGTTCTCCTGTAGTAGTATATATCTAATTAATCAAGTTATGAAATTTTATTGATTATCAATATGATACAAAGGGTGCCTTCATAAGATTAGTTTTTGACATATTTTTTATATGAAATACATAGACTCATAACATTGCATTTAAAACTTCATGTTACAATAGAAGCTGAATTGCCGTTTTCATTTGAATTTAGTTTTCTTCTGTTTTCTTTGGTATTACGGCGAACCAACACAATTTAGGTAATACGGCGCAGAAACAGGAAAGGTGATTTTGCCTAACCTCGGGTATAACAAACTTTAAGTCAAAACCATGTCATCTGTTGGAGCTAGAGAGATGCATAGACTCCAGAATTCGAACCAATTTATTCGCCTCTTACGGTCAACGGTGTCTGCAATTCTGGAGCCTCAATCAATGTCTTTAAGACAATCCTTCAGCCAAAAGGGAAATTCGTATTTAGTGTAATAAATGTGATCATAAACAGTTCTATACAATACTTTGCCTGTAATAGGTTAAACAACCTCAGTCCTATTCTACGCAGGATTTATGGACTTAAATATACACCGAATCAACCCGAAACCGGATCTTAAATCATCAATTACCCAAATAACAAAGTTGAAAACGAATATTTCCACAAATTTGAGTCGAAAAGGTTCCCAATAATTTGCAATTCAAAACTGTCAAGTTAGATTTTACATGATGCTTAACATGGCGTACACTTCAGCTGCACTTCGCTTATAACATTGAAAATAATCCAATTAACTACGGATTAAATGCTGTACGTCAGAATGCGCCTAAATAACTAATCGGTTAGTAAAACCACGCGATATTGTGCTTAGTCCATAATTTATTGAATCACTGCGGTTTTTATGGGTTATTGCGAATATCAGTTATCATGTAATTGCGACCTTGTTAACATGAATGTTAATGGCCCCTTTAACGATGCTTTTGAAGCCACATTTCACCGTATAAAACACATGCTATATATTTAATGTGATAATTATCAACACAGGTTGAAACGTATCTGTAGAAACAGGTTTCCTTACCCAATATTAACTCACCCCCCATTTTCATTCACTAAACCAGTAATTCGTAATGTAATATGCATCTTTTCGGTTTCTAGGGGTATTTTTATTTCCGACAAAAGTGACTAATTCTGAAATTCATTTGAATGACTTGTTTTATATTTCTGAAAGAAATGTTATAATATGAAATTAAAGCTCTAAAGTTGTATCGAAGTAAACCGTGATATCTGTATTGTGCAATCTATTGAGGATGAGTTTCACCAGATTAATTGCGCATTTCATTGGACTCTGTAAAATTATTTTTGCAAGTATTATTGCTTTCTGTATTTTTTACCTTTGTTAGCGGGAGGGGATATAAATTGATTATAGTCTAGGTGAATAACACGGAGCGCAAATATATATCATTTTAAGAGGGGGAAACAGTTTATATTCACAATTGTACAATGAAGACAAAGTAGTTCGTATGTGAAAATAAAATCTTTAAAATAGATTTTAGGCGACGGCCTTGTCCGCCTTGCTAAACGATTTTCTCAGCCATTTTTTCACAAGCCATTTTCCACTTAATTAGTTTGGTTGTTTAGTTTCACGACCCGTAACAATATATAATGAATTGATTTCATACCCGAACCAACTCCAATTTACCAGTTTATCTGTCCATCACGCAGAAAGATTGCCAGTATTCCATTACGTTATTATTTACGCTTTATCAAATTAACTTCACACTAAGTATTTGTTTGGAGTCAATTAGGGACCATCCATTTGTTCACCGAGTAACTTTATACACTACAGCCCTCCAAGGAGCTCTGAAGAAATTGTAAACATGAGTCAAAACTTCAATGTTATCGGGCCATCGATAATCAGTTTAAGTAGTTATCTTCAATTTTTGTACAGATTGTTTCTAGATACTTGAGCCGAAAAATTGCTATCCTTCTTCTTATTATAATCAGCGTGACCTTTTTATCAATTTGAACAAAAACATGGTTAACGGTTGTCTTTTTTCTTTTCCTTTGTAAGAAAGACATTCTTAAATAAATGTTGTCACGTAACATGTTTATTTTTTGTCAATTTCAATCGTAATGGTATACATTGTACCTTCTTTTTGCAGAACACCGTTCCGACAATTTTTTTAATTTTATTTCAGTTGGTTTCATTATTTTTTTTAAGAATTACTTCATACACAATGATGTGTTTGGACTGGTAATATATTAAAAAGAAAACATTCATACAATACTTTGGAAGTATGCACTTTGTGTGTGTTCCATAATAAAAGAAAATGATGAAAAGTTCAAAAAGAAAGAAAGAATCATTGATAAATTGATTGATCAATTTTACATGTCTGAACATACGAGAACTAACCTTTCTTTCAAAATAGGTTATAAATAGTGTATATAGCATAAAGCATAATACAATGTTTTATATACAAATACAATTGAAACTTTTCTATTTATCTAAACTGATGGCTACTGACCTTTCTTTAGTAATGGGCTTGAATGAGGATTCTTGTTCTTCTTCTCGAGACTCGAACAATTCCACCGGTGTTCTTTCATCTGATATTGACACTCGTGGATTGCTATTTGAATGCCTTGTATAGCCGACGCCGTCACGTCGGGATATTTTGAACAAAGTTTATACTGCTTTGGTGAAAGCTCGGGAAATGTTTTACATATCGTGTTTGGGTCTATTACAGGCTCTTTAGTTGGAATGTTCAGCTGTAGGATGTCATTACTATCTAGGCATCTGAAAGTTTAAAGAAAAGTTCTTATTTTTAAAAAGGGAAACATTAAAAAAAACATTGACGTGTGAAATTTTACTGAATGACGTCACAGAAATTACTTTCTTTTCCAGTGTATTACAGGCTTTTTAGTTGGAATGTTAAGCTGTGAATACTATTCCTTTCTAAGGCTTTTTAAAAGAAAAACGTATTTGGTTTTGAGAAGAAAACACGTGTGACGTGTAAAATAAATGACGTCAAAACAACAATTTCTTCCCTTTTAAATGTAATTCAACAAATTCCAATTGGTTTATTTTCTATGAGCAAATAAGGAACACAAATCTACATAACTTATATATGTTTAACGTATAATACTGCCAGGGATATTGTTTATATCATTAAAATTCAAACCTCTGTTACTTCCTCCATTACATCACATTGTTTGGAGCAGGTAAACTTGAACCATGCATTTGTCACAACCTATTTAATCTAATATTATCTGCACTTATAAGGCAACTGAATAAATAAATAAATATACACAACAAATCAACGTAAAAATTCATTTTATTCCAGTACTTGAGGGCGGTATATTGTTGATATTAGTAACATGTAAGCAGATACTGTATGACAGGATAGGGGCACCTCTCTTCCAGACCTCCGCCTTGGTTTTGCCGGAATGATGCCTAATGTAAAACCTTTTAACTGCTTGTTTGGAGTTTAGATTTGCATATTTATATATTCAGGAAAAGATGCCATTAACAAATTCCAACATTTGTTTACAATGTAAATCAGTTTAAAGGTCACGATGCCGTTTCAATTTTTGCATAGGTATTGTTGTTCTTATTCAACATCTTTGCTTACAGATCCAATTATTACAACAGACAAAAATAGGTTATATAGAAGAAAGTGATAAAAAGATTATTTTTGACGTCATTTCTACTTCCGGTAGCGTCTGCGTCACCATACTAACAAAACCGCGTTCTTTTTAAAAATGTAATACAATGTGGACCTATCTAATTTACAGATTACCTTGTATCACACTATATAAATACCGCGTTCACACGTATTACTTAAAAATAAACAGGTATTAGTTCAATATGTAAACCACCCATCCAAACTTTACTAAAGGCTATTCCATTTTAATAAAAATAATTGGACTATAAAATTAACAATTTTCACAGCGAAAGCAAATATAGAAACACTTTTATTGCGAGCACAATTATTGAATTATAGATACACTAAGAGCTTATCAAAACAATTTTCACCTTTCATGTGGTTAAAAGTTTTATGACGAATACAAGGTGTTAAAATATGTTTGTTTCTTTTGGCTTTTAACGTCGGTCAGATAAAAGAAAGTCAACCGATGTATCCATCCTAATTTTGATATACTTTCACAATTTAACGCAGATATCTATTAGTGGATGATAAAGCGGAAATCATTTTTGTTTTTCAAAGAGTTGCTTTCATTGGTCAGCCGTGACATCGGATTTCACGCTAAACCGTCTAATAATAGTCATATTAAAGTATTGAAATTGCCCTTTGTGACGATAGATTTTATTGTAGGAAAAAAGAGTGTAATACCCCGTACCATACTCCTACTTTGGAGACAATTTTATTTATATATTTTAATCGTACACGTGATGAGCAAATTGAAAAGTGGATGGACCTCGAATTCGTTCATATACCAAGTGCTTTACGAGTCTATATGTTCAAAAGTTCAACGTAGATTATCAAAATGATGGTATATTTTGCCAATAGTTATAGACTAATGTTCCCCACCAAAACAAACTCCTAACAATTTCCATTTTACCATTTTTGAATTTCAATGAAATATTGAAGCTGACGATACCTAATTAATTAATTAATTAGAATGTTGTCAATTAAAAAAGGCAATAATTTAAGAATGGAAATAAAACCGTTATTTTATGAAACATTTATAACGTTAATGGTGTTCAAAATAAAGATAAAAGACGAGAAAAGATATATTTTATTTTATCTAATTCTTCATTCTAAAATATAAAACAGATAGGTAATGTCATGATTTTTTTAAAATGACATATAAATTATGTAATGAACTGTTTTAGAATGAAAATAAAATTATGTAATGAATTGTTTTAAAGTGATGGAAAAACTGTGTAATGAATCAATTTAAAATGACTGATGAATCATGTAATGAACTGTTTTAGAATGACAGAAAATTATGTTATGAATGGTTTCAAAATAATGTAAAATATGTCACGAAATGTTCAAAAATGGCAGAACAATTATGTTATAAATTGTTTCGAAATGACAGATAAAGTATGTTATGAATGGTTTTAAAACGACTGATGAATTATGCAATAAATTGTTTAAAATGACTGATAAATTATGTTATGAATTGTTTCAAATTTACAGATGAATTATGCAATTAATTGTTTTAAAATGACAAAATTATGTACATTTTCTTTAAAAATGACATGAATTGTTTTAAAATTGACAGATAAATTGTTTTGAAATGACAGATAAATTATGCAATTTATTGATAAATCATGTAATTAATTGCTTTGCAATGTCAGAAAAAAATGTTATGAATTGCTTTAAAATGACTGATAAATTATGTAATGAATTGTTCTAAAATGACCGATAAATTATTTAATGAATAGTTTTAAATTGACTGATGAATTACGTAATGAATTATTTTAAAATGACTGACACATTATGTAATAAATTGAATGTTTTGAAACAACGGATAAGTACCATGTGAAATAAAAACTTGAGAATATCTTAAAAACAAGGAATTATTTACAAATAAGATTACATGTGATATAAAGCAAAAATGGTTTTCATTTTTAAAAATCGCCCTACATTACTACACAAAAGATGCTAATATAAAGGGTATGTCCGACAGAGCCAGGCATTACTATGCTTGGTTAAAGCAGTTAACAGAAAAAGGTTATTGTCAAATTATATAATAAAAGGGCACAGATCATAGATTAGCACTATATGCAACATTCCCCTATGCTCGTGCTGTCTTCCAAAGCCTTTAAGCTTTGTAACCAAAAGTAAAAATGCGTTTTTATATGAAAGATTATTTCTGAAATCTGCGACATGTAGTTAACAATTTGACGGAAGTCTTTCACCTGTCATCAAAGTACTAAAGTTTCAGTTCAAATCGATTGAACGTCCTACAATGAACAACTATATAAACGCCTTTGTATGATGGATCACCGCTTAACCCACTTTTATTTACATATCAGCTGTAGCATAGAGGGGCTTAATCTTGATTACATTTGTAAATAAGCCCTCAATGAGCTTTGTACAATTGTCTGGTTTGTTTACAGTGAAGTATGTCGGACGCATGATATTTGTAAATTGTTAGGAAATCCAAGGTCTCTGGTATTTCTTTATTAAAAGTTCTATTCCTTAATGCATCATTTTACTTCAGTCAAAGTATGAGATTTTGAAAAAGCCCTTTTGTTTTGGACGTTAAAGACGGAATAAAATTGTGCTTTTGTTTTTATAAAACTCCCGACATAAAAGAAATATCTATTAAAAAAGTTCGACATGTTAAGAAATTTAGAAATAACAAATTAGGCAAACAATTATGAATGGCATCACCAAATTATTTTATTTTTTAAAACCGAATAACTCAAACAAGCAAGCAATCTTACGATAATAATATTAAATACCAAATGTTTAAACGGTCCGTTCATAAAGTACAATGTCTTAAAATAGTGTTTCGTTGGGAGGAGGGGGAGGGGGTCAGGGCGAAGGCAGCTGTCAACAGTTTTGAGCAATGCGTAGGCGATATATATGGATCATTTAATGATCATTTATTGGCACTGTTAGTCACAACATCATTGTATTGGCACCAAATGTCTCAGTCAAAACATATCCATGATCACATTAATGGCAACATGCTAGCTTGACATTGAACAGCTTTAAACTAATATCAAACATTCAATAAACTAAACACTGTCGTTAAATTGCATATGAACGATGAGGTCGACTTTATCCTGGAAATAAATCTAAAGAACACAATGCTTTTATCCATTTACTCAATGATTTGTAATTGTACAAAAACTCAGTTTGAATGGGTACTATGAATTCCACAGCAACAAGATTTAAGCTTAGCAATATATTTATCATAACATTATAACCAATGTAAACAAAAGTGATGATATCGGTTCAGGTGCTTGGCGTCGTGAAACGATACAATAATCTGTAATAATCTCCCTTATTCGTACAAGAGAGCTGTAAATTGACTACTAAATTGATAAGTAAAGCTATCCACATTCCAGGGTAACCGGGTAGAAATACAAACCGGAATTTTTAATGCTTTGTTTGTCCTTAAATTCGCCGTGTTTACCTTTTAAGGACAAGGGTTAACATGAATTAACCAATACTAGCCATCATGAAAGACTATAATCTCGCTTAAACACTAATAAAACCGTCTTGAATACGCCCTTTAAAAAGTGGTAAAATCCTTTAGATATCTACACAATGACTGCAATTGAAGAATTTCATATTTTTACGAAATAAATGTGGTATTCCGCTTTCCTTGTTAAAATTAAGTAAGGTCTAAGTCTTTTTTTGTAAACCAGACAAAACTTTGTCTTTCATCTTTCAAACTTGCTACAAAAGTGCATTCAATGCCTTTTCAGACACATAAAGATTCTAAACAAAAAAGTAGATCGATCATTAACTATCTGATCAAATGTTTGTATTTGGGAAAAAACAAGTACAAGAAAACCAAGAGGACACTAGTTTATCTTAATAAAGATAAGCCCGCCCAGTTAGCACAAGAGGGAGGGTATTATATTTGAGGTCCTCGTATTTATTGGGTACAGTCAATGTTTTTAAGTACAAATTCTAATTACGCATGTAACACATTAGATCAAGAAAAAATGCAAATGTTGATAATCACATAAGGTCACCAACAAACAAATATTCTTTAACTTTTAACCTGCGTGAACCGTGATTGATTACAAGTACAGAACCAGGCCATCCAGATCATTGTAGTCATTCCAAGCTCTACACTGTTTGCTGGCTAACTTCTTCTATAAATTCCCTTTATTTATAGTCGCTAGTTTAAAAAAAGTGTGCTGGAAACTCAACAGAATAAGGGTTGAATTCCTCTTGTGGCTGTGAGGTAGCCTTTATGGACTGAGTCATTAGACATCATTGAAATCTATGCATCTTTTAGCTCCAGTAGGTGAAGTGGTTTTGACCCCTGGTGTTGCTTATAGTTTAAAACTACCGAAGTTATCCAAAATCGTCTTTCCTGTTTCGGTACCATACGATCTTTACCGTGTTGGGTACACCGTAAAGCCAAACAAAACAAATATATATTAAATGCCTACAAGGTATAATACTCGTATATCTTTGTGCTAAAGTATCTTCTATTACATTTCAACAAGTCTTTAAGAACATTTCATTGCTTCTGGTCGATTTATTTCTTCTTAATGTGACCACTGTTAACGTTTTCAAAACCTGCGTGTATTTCATTTCCATTATCGCACTTGTTAAATCTTTAAATGTTAACGCTTTCTCGTTTCTTTCAATCAATTCTTGAACTTTTCTACCTATATGAATGTTGATTGAATTTCCATTTGTAATTTTCACAAGGTATCACTTTTCAATTTTATCTTTATCCATATCTGTAGAATGGATATTGTCATTAATTTTTATCAGTCAAGCTAATCCAAACTTACTATTTTTATCATTTTTCGTTTAAGCAAGTCGTTAGGGTGGAAAGTAGGTCCATATTTTTAACATATCCTTTACCAATTCAATTCAATCAAATGTTTCATTAATTATATTTACTTATTTAGCACGTTTGAGCTCAACCTTTTAAAAAAACAATTTATGTTAATTAATTTAAGTTTGATTATAACAAAAATTAAGAGGGAAAAAAGAAGAATGGTCGTTCTTATTCAAAGCATATAGTTCACTAAAATGAATCCGAATTTATTTCGTTTCAAGAGTTTTATATAAAAAAAAAAACCTTATTATACCATTAGGCCTCGTGGTTTGCATGTTTTACGAGGTGTAGCATAATGAATATGCACACATTATCTTGATGACGTCTGCTTCTTCAAATAACTTGAGTTTTCAACATTTCTTATTTATGCTGCATCTTTTCTTCTTCTTTTTTTTATTTTTCTCTACCGCTTAGAAATCTTTAATTTACTATTTTAATATACTATGATGTCCTTTGCTGCATAACTTATCAAGAGCATGCTCTATATGCTGTAAAAACACATTTTCTATTGCAGCCTCTCTATAGAAATACAAATACTTTGAATATTTCTTCTAAATATCCTCTTATCAAGCATTTTATTCAACGCAAACCTTTATCATGATTGTGACGCAACAATATATCATATAGTAAATGGCAAACAGCCTGGCGGATTTCAATCGAAAGAGGGAGAAGATTTTCTTTTCTTTACTCATAGAGATTCTAGACTCATTTCTGGTAGATTTTAATGTTTACAATTAAATAATGATTTAAATTCCTTGTTCTTTTTAATAACAAAATGTTATTCTTCATCATAAAAACATATTTTAATTACTGAATATCATCATTAAAATTAGATAAAAATCAATACCTTTATTATCTTGAGATAGCCTAAGGCCAATACCTTCTGTTTTAGTTTACAAAGAAAAATTTGAAATTTATTATTATTTTATTGTAGAAAATTTGCACTGTTTTATTCAAGATACAAAGTGCACAATTAACAAAACAGAACAGAACATGTTCTATTAAACTTAAACGCATCATAAAAAATTTCCATTGGCTGTTTTAGAAAATGAATTATTACTTAAATTCAATACGTTAAATAAGCATTGATTATAAATTTTGCCGTTGAAACCTAGTTGCATTTGGGAGACAAGATAATTAGGATAATAATCATACTTATTATGAAATGAATGTTTAGTTGTATATGTCAATAGGATGTTAATTATAATTAATATATGAACGATGCTAGTTATAATTAATATATGAACGACACTAAACCATAAAAGATGAATAAAGCATTGTACTGTAACATATGGAGTCCGTATATTATGACATAGGTAAATTTGACACATTATGTCATACATCAAAAAGACATAAAAAGGTGACATAAAATGGTGAAAAATATATAGAGTTAACATCTATGTTAATGCATTTCTTTGACACATTATGATTGTAATATATCAATTTGAAATACAATGTACAATAAAAAAGACATGTATATCAGTTAAGAATGTAGGATGCTTAGTTCTAAAATAAGACTTAAAAATACTTACAAAACGTTTTGACACAGGAGTAAAGTTATGAATAGGACGAAGGTGAAATTGGCTAATCCGGACGATCTAGTTTGTCTCTTTGATGTGATACCTCTGTAATCTGAAGATGTGTTCACGTTTAATTGCCTCTTTATTCCGCATTTTTTACACCGAAACCATGTATATTTTTCACTTCCGTCATTAAAGTCACTAATGCACTGTTCCATATTGTTTACATTTTCATAACGTTTACCACGATGTCTTGTAAAATTGTTTCCGCAGTGAAGAAGTCTCGTACACTCGAATTGAATATATTCTTTATGTTCCATACAGTCACAATGATGTTCCGTCACGTGTTCCATGTCCTCGTTCCAGTCACACATATTTTCCTTGTAAGTTCTAGTATATACATCCATATTGTTTGAATCAGCAGATTTTTGCTTACAAGTAATATCCCTTTCCATTACTTTCTCCATAAATAAGATCACAAATATAATATAAAAATCGCACAAGGGAAAAATATACTGTTAAGAAAATGTTTTATAAAATTAATTAATCCATATTAAGTTCGCTAAGTCCCGTAGTATGTTACCATCTATTACACCATCAAAAATACAAATAACTTCAGTAATCAAAACTTTATTCTTATATAATTATAAGATAAAGATAAATGTTTAACACAAGATTTTCACGTAATTATATTTTTACTTTTTAACACTGCTTTTACATTTTTCTTTACTTTCATCAACTGCAAGTTGGTAATCTGTCAGTCAAGTGTTTAATAACATCTCTTTTTTCTAGATGTTTGACAGGTGTAATTGGTGAAGTTTTATAGTCTTACTGTGAATAAATCACCTTTTCCAACCCCGACTCAACTCTTAAATACGAGTGTTAAACTTTCTATGACTCGACGCAGTAAATAGTAAAAAAATCCACTATTGCGCCCGATTTATGTATCAACCAATCCGTGGGAGGTTCATACATTCTCAATGCTGATGAGTAAATAGTATCAGTCATCTAAGTTGACTAAATAAAAATATATTCCTATAAAACTAAGTTTCAACATATAAAAATTAGCATCTAAAATCGCCTTGAATTAAAATGTTAAATTAAATCAGTCCGCTTTATGTTTTTCTTGGTGTTCTTTGATATTGATAATAATGATATTAGTTAGCGTTTATAGCCTTAATGCTTGTTGAACAGGCCTATTTTAAAGGTAAACCGATTTATTGGTTTAAATAGTCCATGATAGTCTAAGAGCTAATCAAAAACACTGTTAGATACACATAAACTAAAACTAATTATAGCTTGTAAAGTCCATTTTATAAACTTTTACACGCCTTTCATTCTTTGCATTTCTCATTTGTATTTAAAGATGAACTAGGATCGGTAGGCTGACTTTGCACTATTTATATCTTTCTGAAGTTTATCAAATTGGGTCAGTAAGGTGTCAACAGTCTTCATGCAAATACTTATAAATGATAATTCCAAAGTAAACAAAAATGCTAAATTGGTGTGTTAACAGTAGTGCAAATTGAAAACAAAGCTTTAGAAATAAAAATATCTTCGAAAGTAGGATTGTAGGCTTTGAAACGTTCGCTTTTTTGTGCTTATTTCATATTTGTGAGCGGGATGGAGATTTGCATGCTCTTTCTTTTATTTATCTATTTTTATTATTATTTATCTTAAATTATCTTAAATCATTTTTATGTATTTATTTATTTTATATTTATGTTTTATTTTTTATGAAGGAGGTGTAACATAGCTCCTTTATTCTAAAGGTTAATGTAATGAATAGTTGGTGATTATTAATATATCTTTATCAAATCAACATAACACTAAAGAACTACTTAATATGATGAATGACATAATAATATTTTTCTAATTTTAACTGATTTGTTTACCATAATTTGCAAGGATCGGTTAAAAGGGAGCATTTTATTCAATTATAGGTTTACCATAACGTAATATTAAATCTGAACATTGTGTTTATATCATCAAAATGTTCCATCCCCTAATAATACCATCCCAAGTTATTTTGGCGCAAATCTCAGACTTTCAACGGGTTTACATCGCATCAATCATGAATTAATTTCGACAGTTTCATTAACGTCCAATTTTCTGTAATCACTTTCATTCTAATTGTTTACCACGCTGCAAAGATTTATTACTCACACGGGTCACAGACATATTTTACTTTTTTATCTCAATTTCTGAAAACATTTTAAGAGGAAAAATGTGATTATACGCTTAAGACAAAATAATTATTTATATTGTTCTAAGAGAACAATAATTGTTTCGGCCCCATGCTGTTCGCATACTGTTAAAATTGAATTAATCAAGAAGCGTTGTTTACTATTTTCTTGATTTTTTTTATAATTATTATACATATATTTTCTAATAATTTTTACCCAACAAATTTATCTAAGATTTCTTTATCACCCACGTGCAAAAGCATGCGTGGTTGTATGACGGTGACGATTAATCTACATCCTTAACCTTGATGGTAACATTGGTCACCGCATCGCATCCGGGATTCAAACATTTGATCTCTAAAATATATAACGGTACCAAATTTTAGGAACAACCAAACTGGTCTAGTCATCGTTTGTAGTATCTTCATATTTCTAAGATGTTTGTAAAGTACAGAATGAGTTACAGTTTTATATCAATAAAAGATACTGTCAATGAAATCAACGAAATGTTCTTCATATTTGTACGGAATACGATTTTTTTTATATTTGCTATGATATACGAACAATGTTTCATCACCCATAAATAAAAAATATATATATAAATACTGTGTTTTCATCATTTGAAAGCCTACATTTAAAGATCTGTTTTTTACGAAGAAATTAATACAATTTTTTAAACATATTTGTTCCCGTCGCGACAGCTTGATTATTTAAAGAGCATAATACCGGTGCATTAAAATCAATTTATCCACTTTTCCTTCAAGCCTCATTAACTTTATACCAAAATCAACATATCCAAAATAAATTCCAGATTTAATAAAGATAGTAGATATCATATTTGTTTGAGATTAAAAACACGACCCATATGAATGATTTAGATCCAAAATAATTTATCATGTACAGAGCCTTCTTTGTGAGTTGCTAATTTGCTTCACACTGGAAAATTTGATTGACGTACATATGTATATATATAAAAAAAGAAACAATTCAACTAATATGATATCTTAGCCATTTTTGAGCTGTTTTCATTTAAATAAGCAGGTATTTGATTCGCATATCATAAATACGTGATAAATTAATATATTTGACGTAGCAGGAGATGTTTAAAGCTTTGTGAAACTTGTAAAAGTTGTGCATTCTTTGTTGATACATTTTACTGATTTTTTTTGGACTCATTTTTGAATCCCGATACTTTTGGTAGCCAAGAGTAGTTCTAAAGGCATGTCACTATATAATAATTATAAGATAAAATGATGATATGTAAAAAAGTAATGATTTGAATAATAGTAATATTATAGCCGTAGTAATTACCGCAAAATAACTGAAATGAATTTCTATAACAATTTTCTTATAACGAGATTACTGATTAGTTATGTAAAATTTTAAGATTTAATACATGTTATTTTGCTTGTCGCTGAGCAACTGCAGCTATAGAACCTGTCAAAAAGTCTTCATTTTCAGCAGCCGGAATTAAATAACACACATATAAACGTCACGATTAAATAAACTTATGAAAATCGACAAAATATGCAGTATTGTACGTAGTGTATAATATATAATTAATGACGTCACAACAATGATGTTGTTTTGCCTTGTCTTTATTGGCAAATCTCTTTAGAGGTGAGTATAAGAGACAGGCCTTGACCCCTGAACGACTTTCCAATTCAAGGTTTTTAAGTTATGTCTTATGAACTGTATAGTATATACACATATTTAAAACAGGGACATTTATATTTGTACTAAAATATTAAAGTTGTGATGTCCAATACAAAATCCAATAGTCCAATAATAAACCTGATGGACCAACATTTAACCCGACCATATTTTAAGGGCAGGATATGGTATTCTATATTTGCATGAAAGAATAATAAAAACATCTTTTAATTTCTTAATTAATTAAGCAATTTCATTCAGTCGGCAATCGTGATGAAAATACATATTTCTTCAACATTCAATGTTCATATTAATTATACTTTACTTAAAGGTATTTTGCGTTACGAGAAATTTTTCCCTCAATGATAAATTCTTGCTCGGTTTTAATTGCATTCCCGATAAATAACGTTCAATTAATTAACACGAACAATATTATTTTTATTACAAGTGTATTTATTTTATATATCTCAACAAAAATTTGCAATGAAACAATAAATCTAGCTAGTTATTCAAAACATCGTAAATCCATACACTTTCTACACCTAGCCAACAAAGTCGACGGCAATAACCAATTACCGCTCCTCTAGGTCACACGACTTAGCCATGAATCAAAACTCACTTGATAGAAATTAAACGATGCCTCTAAATTGAAACCATCTGTTACGCTCTTGGCTTAAACGCGTTCGCTTAATCAGTATGAAAACGTACCTGCTTTTCAATGGCGAAGTAGGTGTGCTTTCGAAGTCTAGAAAATTTTGCAAAGATGATGAAAGTCTTTTATTTCGGCTAAAAACATCGCCTTGGGCTCGAATAAACATTTATGAGTTTGTTTGTTTTTTTGTTCTTTCCATCTGCAGGTTGTTGAATAGTAGTATGATCTAGAATCGTATCAGAAGTCAATAGTTATTGTCAAACGCGGATACAAGAGCATTTAGATACTGCACATAACAATATAAAAAAAGAACTAGATAAAAACAACAAATTATCTGATGAAAAATACTGTTAAAGACTTGCTGAATATAGTGAAACGTAATAATTAAGACATATCTTATGACGTCATCACTGCCCTAAAATAGTAAACACGTTTACCAGAACGAACTTTGTGCCAAATAGAAATTCGGAAAACATTGAATTACATTACATGTGTTCATAAAGACAAACAAATGACGTATTACGCAAGTTTAAAGACATATAAATGAATAATATACACGTCAGAAGCAGACGTAATTTATGGTATAACAGAGCGATGGATAAAACGGTTCCCATGTCAAGAAGTAATATACGTTATAAAGGAGCAGCGGATAAAATAATACCCCCACCATCGCCATATTCGGTATGAGTTTGTAATATTCTCTATTTATTAAAGAAGAAAGAATAAAACACTACTCGAGCGAAGACACATTGTATAGATGTAATATACGATGTAAAGGAGGAACGGATAAAACGCAACTGGCGTCATGATGAATGATATAAACGTAATATCCGGTATAAGGAGGAACAGTTAAAATGCTACCCGTGTCATTACATATGATATAGACGTAATACCAGATGTAAAAGTAAGATCGAATTAAATGTTGCACCCGTGAAAACACTCGATGATATATAAACTATACCTCAATATATATATTTACACACATATATATATATACAAACAGGGTGTGTATCAAAAAATAATGCACTGCCTTGAGAGAACTACAATATGCCATTGTTCATGAATGTTTTATTGGAGTAATGTTTGTACTGGTTTGTGTGTATTGTAAATTCTTTTTATTGAAATAGGCAGTCTTTATAAACATTTAAATAATTTACTCTTTGTTTACCCAACAGTAGAACTTTGCGAAATGGATGTAGGTTTTTCATTTGTTAATCAAACACAGCTTCTAAACGGTACTATTGTGTTGGTTTTCAAATGTGTTTACAAACGACTTTTAAAATATCCAAACGAATTATTATGTTAATATTATTAGTCAGATCTTGTTATGCTAATGACACTTTTAAATTACTAAAATTGAATATCATACTAAACTAGTATTGACAAGAAGACGAAGCAGAAGTTTGCCACCCATTGCTCACCGTATGAACCCAGTGTTTGCACAAGATATTCTAATATAAACATTGTTAAAGATTAGCAAACATATAGCGAATAGATGACGGTATTATGTTTCTTATTTCAATCCCCGTGCACCAATAAGAGGGTGAACACCGCTTCACTTCCCAATTGATTAAGACATACTAATTGGTTCTGTATTCCAAACAAGCTTGCCTACCCTTTTAAGTCATTGTGCTGGACTTTTTCATATATCTAAATGTGTCCCTGGTATTTCTGTCTCAAATGATTAATTTGTCGTAAGAACTTAATTTTGAAATAGGCTGATACCAAATGATTGTATGATCTTCCTTTCTAAATTTAAAATAAATTGATCTTGAATTAAAACACTAAAATGAAGGAATTTCGAGTGTTAGTTGTACTTTTTAAACATAGCATTCTTTTCTCTACTGTCACTAAATAAACGGATGACGAACAAAATTAAATCACTGATATTCCAAGCAAAAACGTTTTAAATAAAAAGATTTACAATTTTAGAAATGGAAACAATTTACTTGGCATTGCTAATTTAAATGCATGCAAGTAAAACGTAAGGCAAAAGTAAAATTATCTTAGTTCATTTTACTATCTTTTAGCTGTCTGGAGACATGCACCTTTAAAGAAAAGCTCAATTATTCTTCTACCGTAGAATACTCCACTCATAATGTCTAAAACTAGATATAATATATCTGTTTACCAAGAAATGGTCTTCATAATTATTCCGTCTTTTTCATTAAAAAATCTCATTAAGTGTTGTTGATTTTTGTACATTTTCAGCTTCATTTAGTATAACCTTATGCTTTTCTTCTTTTCTAAAACAGTTTATTACGGTATACGTTTTCAGCACAGTCATATATATGTAATACTGGCGTAGAGATAAATAGTTTCTGTAATAAAAGCTGACATCATTATCATTATAGTATTTCACTTTTACTTGATGGAAGATCTGACTGACGCACTTATACTTTATTGTTTCTTTTTTTCTTCTTCCATAACCATCTCAGTCATTTAAGTATCTATAACCATTTACAGATATATCTATAGAAAAGGACCAAGAGAAAACAACATATAAGATATATAATAATTCAGTAATGATTGAAACAGTAAATCGAACACATAAAACACAAATTAAGCATTCCCAATTAAAACATAAGTAAACAACACACATTTTGTATTAAAAATTGACCGTGCAAATTCATTTTTATCACTTTATAGATCTCTTTGATAGCTTTTGCTAATTTATATGCTTGAATATTTTACTAAAATAGTTATTCATAAATGTAACAAAGTTATTTCGCATAAATAAAAAAAATGAGATTTAACTTTAATTGATTGTTATTACCCATACACTGGCTGTTAAAACCCCAAACAAGCCGGGCATACAGCAATTGTAATAAACCGGCTACCCTGAATAGAAACATAGAAATGAATAGAGGCATTTAGGTGGGTAGGTAGCGAAACTGCAAAAGAAACTGCTTTTAATGATGGCCTTACAAATAAGTAGAAGTATTTTACTTATCAAATTGACAATAATAATAATGATGCTCAAAAAGGTATTCGTATAAGAACTTAAACACATAACCCATTACCATGAAATATTTCAATTTTTTTCAATTATTTATTAAATGAATTTACTTATATTTACATGGGCGCTTCTCAAACGCCGAATTGAGATCTCTTTATCAGAAATTACATATTTTCTCATATTTTCTTTCTATAGATACTATTTAATGATCTTAAACTTTAATTGTAAAAAAATGTGTTTGAAAGAAGCAGTAATAAATCATCATCAACATGCAGTTTGTAATATTTTTTAAAAAAATCACAAGTTAAAAGTGGTTCCCTTTTCAGTCTAAAATGCTTAAATCATAATAATAATGATATGTTTAATGACTGAAAATACCTATATTAACTATAACTTATATTAACTTATATACGGAATGTTAAGATAATCAATTCCTTTTCATTGAAATACTTTTTTCAGCGGAACACAGCTATAAATCATAGTATATCAATCAGATTGAAAATAGAAGTTGATATACAGATATCCGGAGTTGTAATTTGATACGACAGTTGGAAGTACTCGTATAATTGTTTCAAAATGGCGTCTAACACACAGACTAAATATGTTAATTAACGCCGCATTACCAATCGCAATTTATCGGTCCTTTTCGGCAAACACCGGAAAAGGACGATTATTAATGATCAGCAAGGTATTTCGAATTTTGGATAACTTTCACAAGCATTAGCTGAAAAATGTCTCTTTTCCAAATACCTTCCTTCAGAGACATGCACGTTGCGGAAAGACACACGTCAGGTCAAGGTCAAGTCATCCTAAGTACTAAGGATGATTGACTAACTCGGGAGGGTGAACCTACAAAGAGTCGTTTGGATGAACTTGTCGTCCCCTTCCATCATTGCACGAAGAACAGCATTTGCGGAAAAAACAGCACAACAAAGACGTCCCCGGTGATGAAACAGTTGTAGACCGGCAAGGACACTCTATGTCTCGGATATATGGTTAATTTCGGCGTCGGGTATAAAAAAACAGCACCAAAGAATGTGTTGTATGAGAAGAGAATTTGAATAGGTTGGTAGTTAAATGAAAGCAGAATTACTTTATTTGCGTGCGTGTATGTTTGTGGATGCAAAGCAACAAATAAAGCAAAGGCAGTGCGTCCCATTGACATTAACGCAATCATGTTAAAGGCGGTGAGCTTCATCAGTAAAATAGGCGAAATATTATAAACAAGACAACACACTCCAAAAGAACATAGGCATAAAACTAATACACGTATAAATACTGTGGCAATAGACTCTGCTGGTATAAACATGTGGCGTATTCCGTGGAGACAAAATATGCTATAAAAGAAGATGGTTTCTATCAGGAGAAAAAAAAAGTTGTTGGTACTTTTGAAATGAAGTCCATGGACTCCATCATTAAAACAAAATGTGCCATGAAAAGAGATGAATGCCGTCGAGAAAAAAGTATTTGGCACCATTGAAATGTAGTCGATGGACTCAATCATTACAACAAAATGTGATATGATAGGAGATGAATCCTATCGAGATAAAAAAAGTGTTGGCACCATTGAAAGGAAGTCAATAGACATTATTATTTAAGATAAAGCTTCAAGATTTATTAATAGATATTTCATAAAATACTTTATATTCTAACTGATTTCTTTCTGTAATTGTATAATAAACTGTTTGAGAAGAGCAGACATTTTGCTAAGATTTTGGCAAGAATGCAATGTTGTTGTTGCTTTTGTTTTTCTTCTTAACACATTGATAGAAATTTTGTTATCTCACAAACAGAATGATTGCTAACTTAAAAGTAATCAGTTTAGCTCTAAATTTTTCACCTGTCCTAATAATGTATGACATTAATTGCTGTTTGTTTTTCATTTTATTGAACAATTTGTCAAGTTCAAGATTGATTCAACTCTAGTTGAAATAGATCACGTCAAAGCACGAGCGTATTAATTTGAAAGTATATAAAATGTTATGTTGGACAAGAATCTTGAAAAAAAACATAAATATAAAAATATATTTGCATGAACAGACCAAAACATTACACAAACATATTCAATAATTATAATTATGCTATCGTGCCACTTTTAAGGATATAATATCTAGCTGAAGTAAATTAACTTTTGTGTCAATAAGAGAAATAAATAGACTTGTTGCAATATTTGTCCTGCCTCAGTCAGTTCATTATCTATCATGTCTAAGGCCGAAAGAGACCAAAATCCTCCTAGTTGGATGGGGGCAATAAACCTTTGGACAAGAGTGGCGTATGTATCTACCGTAAGACCTGGCCAAACTGTATAATTATATGTACTTAAATAATTAGGCTCTATGCCGATGACTGTATAATTTTCACTTTTCTGATATTGAAATCCTTTCAACTCACTGATGACATTCCAGATGTTGAATCTGGAATGTCATCAGTGAGTTGAAAGACAAGACTATCCCACGAGTTCTACAAGAAAAGGATTAAATATATCGAAACAAATGCTTTTCATTAACTGTTTTTACCAATGGCTTCCCCTTATTAACTGTTAAACAATTTTGTACATCGCTTTCGTGAAAGAAGTCAATTTTTCTTCGGCCAATTAGCGTTGTCAATTTACTGATACATCCGAATGAGCGGTTTTGCGCATTATATATGCATAAATGACTTTATTTATGCATTATTAAAATCCAGACCACATCAAAGGGTGAGAGTGGCCCTTGTTTAATCG